GAAGTCTTTATGGGTGTATTTGTCAGGTTTTTTTTCCAGCGAGACAGAACTACAGGAAGGTAGATAGGTAGGTAGGTAGGTAGATAGAAACGTAGATTTAGAGTTGATAGACAGACAATAGTTAGATGAATGGCATTTTGTTTGGGGATTTACTCGTGTAACATTGTAGAGACGGAGAATTCCCAAGACAGCCATCTGTGAGTTTAAGGACCTTGGATGCTGTAGCGTGATGGCTCAGTCCAAAGCTGAAGTCTTCAGAACCAGGGAAGCTCTTGGTGTAATTCTCAGTTTGGGACCAATGGCCTGAGAATCCAGGGCATTTACTGGTATAAGTTCTGGAGTTTCAAGGTCATAGATCATGGAGTTGTATTTTCCAAGGGCAGGAAAAGGAGTATACTTTCTCCTGGACAGAGACAGGAAAACTTTTAAAATTTTTTCACTTTTGGTTCTGTTTGGTCCTCAAGGAGATTGTATGCTGCCTTCCCTCATTGAGGGTGGATTTTTCCCACTAAATTCCCTGACTCATACCAACCTCCTCTGGAAACACCCTGGCAGACACACCCAGAAGTATGCTTTACCAATTGTCTAGGTATTCTTTAATCCAGTCAGCACCTTCAATTAACCATGACAAGTCCAGCACCTTTCTAGTTGGCACCTATATGTACACCTTAAGCCATAACTAATCTTTAGATACAGACAATAACAAGGCAATAGTTCTACCTAACATGATGCAACAATCCCGTGTGCAACCAAAACACACTATACTATTTTTCTTAAGAGCAGTGGAAGTTTGTGGGTGATGTTTACTCTTCTCCTGATACCCCATAACTTCAATACAAGTATGTTAAATTGCTAACACTTAACTGTTAGTATCAAGTTAACACATTCTTGTGTTTTGTGACAAAGGAAGGAGAAATAAAAACAATGTTATTTGCCTAATATATTCCTATATAACATGCAAATGTATTCTTAACAAAGTAGATAGGAAATACTAGTGACAATTTTAATCCTTGTTTCTGTAACTGGTCACCTGGTCCTGTCTGGTATGTATGCATGTATTTATTTTATCATTTTTTAAAATTTTTTTTTAATTTTTTGACACAGAATCTCACTCTGTCTCTTAGGCTGGAGTGCAGTGACATGATCTCGGCTCACTGCAAGCTCTGCCTCCCCGGTTCACATCATTCTTCTGCCTCACTGAGTAGCTGGGACCACAGGCGCCCGCCACCATGCCCAGCTAATTTTTTGTATTTTTAGTAGAGACGGGGTTTCACCGTGTTAACCAGGATGGTCTTCATCTCCTGACCTCGTGATCCACCTGCCTCAGCCTCCCACAGTGCTGGGATTACAGGCATTAGCCACTGTGCCCAGCCCTGTCTGATATTTATAACTCCCTTCTACTGCTACCCATTCTGTATTCTCTTTGTCTTCAGCAATCCCCTTTGCTAGTCCTGGGTCTTTATCTGGCAGGGTGATGCAAACCTTCATTCCTGAAACATCTGGAGCAGTTGTATTCTTGTCTGGAATGGTTTTAATAATCCATTGAACTTAATAACAGGGAATAGTAATACTAAGACTTTGTTTTAGTCCATTTTCTGTTACTGATAACAGAATACCTGAAACTGGGTAGTTGATAAAGAAAACACATGTATTTCATAAAGTTATGGAGACTGAAAAGTCCAAGGTTGGCAGGTTGTATGTGGCGAGATCCTGTTGCTGGCTGGGACTCTCTGAAGAGCTCTGAAGTCTACAGGGTATCATATGGCAATGGAGTAGCGCTTGCTGATGTGCAAGATCATGTCTCCCTTCCTATAAGCCACTTTTCTCTCATAATAGACTATGAATCTTTAAATATTAATGTATTGATCCATGAAGGGATTAATTCTCTTATAGGGTCAAACTCTTCATGATCCAATCACCTTTTAAAGGCCTCACAATTCAACACTGCCATGTTAGGGATGAAATGTCAGCATACATTTGTAAAGGAAGCAATATTCCAACCCTAGCACTGCACTTCTGACTCTCTAAAAATCACACCTGTCACAACAGTTTTATTTCATTCCTATAGTTCCAAGGCTTAAATTGTTCCAGCACCAACAGAAAGTTCTAAAATCTAAAGTCTCCTCTGTCAGCCCATGAAATCAAAACAAGTTTTCTTGATACAAAACTCGGCAGTTGGGTTGTTAATGCCCCCTGGGATCATGTTGGCTGCTGTCCAGATAGAGCCACTTTACCAAGATAAGGGAATTACTATAAAGAACATTTTATACATGTAGAGGCAGCTAAAAGAGAGAGCAGAGTTTTCATATTACTCTAAACTGCTTCTCCAAATACTCAGAAACTGGAGTTTTTATAGATAGTTTTGTGGGCAGGGGGTTAGAGAAAGGGACATGCGGATTGGTTGGGTCAGGGATGAACTCTTAGGAAGTCAAAGCCATCTTCTTTGCTGACTCAGCTCCTGGGTGGGGGCCACATATCCAGATGAGCCAGTTTACTGGTTTGGGTGGCACCCGCTGATCTGTCAGAATGCAAGTTATGAGAAATACCTCAAACACCAACCTTAGGTTTCACAATAGTAATGTTATGTATAGAAGCCATTGGGGTGTTAATTAATCTTGTGGCCTCTGATTGTATGACTCCCGAGCCATGCTTTCTAATACAGTGGTTAATTTGTTAATTTTACAAAGGTGATTGTGGTCCCCAAACAATGAGGGGTTTTGTTTCAGGGAGGAGCTGTTATTATCTTTGTTTCAAAAAACAAAATTATTATCTTTGCTTCTTCCAAAGTTGGTTTTGTTTTTGCCCAGGAATAAACAAGGGCCACTTGGAGGTTGAATGCAAGATGAAGTCACTTAGGTCGTATCTCTATCCCTGTCATAATTTTCTCAATTACTGTTTTTGCAAATGGGATTTCAATTTCCCCTTCTGAGTTTCATTGCATCTTATTCTTAAGGCGTGAGGTACAGAGTTGGGAAAAGGCCAAAGACCATTCTAACTTCTTTCTGCTGACAAGGAGTATACTTGAGATAGGGTTTGGCCCCAGAGTAAATGGAATGAAACTGCTTTGTAGCTGTCTGCATGTATTCGCAGATGCCTGGTTGGGGTTCCTAGGCTTGCATGACAGATGTTAGTACTGTCATCCACAGTTTTAGTACAGCACTTAAGTGAGCAGCAAACTCTAGGATAATGGGTCCTAATATAAGGAGTGGAAGTCCTAGCTTCAGAAGTCCTTATATAATTCGTCTAAATCCCTGAAGGATTACATTGAATAGCCCTAAGAACCAATCAGACATGGGATCAGTAGTCAAGAGAGATTTGGGTCAGAGGTTGTTAGAAAGACAAATTGGGATAAACAGGAAAGAGCAAATTTAAATATACCATCTCATATCTTTTTAGTTAGTTTCCTAGTTCTCCGAATATATCCTAACTGTGTTTCATTCCAGGAGGTGTCACTGCAAATGAAGGAGGCTCCCTTATGTGATTAAGGCAAAAAATATTTTTACTAACTGGCCTTTGTATGGAAATAGAAAATAATGACAAAGGTTGATATTGGGCACAACGTATCCAGGTGTTAGATTCAAAGTATTTTTAAGTTGCAAAGGAGGATAGCGATGACAATCTCACGTATTTTTCATCTGTATCTCAAGGGATAAGCTTCAGCATGCAGGGCCTCCGGAAGAAGGTCGTAGCCATTTCATTGAGTCCAGATCAGAAAAGGGGAAGAAAAATGTGGATGTATTAGTTTGAGGACTTTAGCTCTGAGAGATTTCAGGATTCAGTCCAAAGTGCAGAAAATAATAAAAAGCTCAAAAACAATGGACAAGACTAGAATCTAACAACAAGTGTGCTATAGTATTTTTCTGAAATATAACGTTTCGCTCCCTAGTTTTCATTTTTATTTAAGACATACCATAGTAAGACACATTTATTTGCAAAATAAGTTTTGGTATTATTATAGTTAGCCTGATTATTTGTGTGAAGTTCAGCAAGAATAATTATTTCCCATATTAGCTCTTTCTAAACTGGATTTGCTGGAACTTTGTTTCCTAAGGAATCTCGGATTGAACTCTTTTGAAGCCTTGAAGGATGTATCTGTGCCTGCAAATACTCGTACACATTGGTTGAATTTCTCTCTTCTTCAGCTCCCAAGATAACTTGGGAATCATAGGCCTGTCAGAATGTGACAGTTTTTACTTACCACGGGTCAGGAACCCTGTGCAAGGCCTGTGTAGATAGTTACGAGGCCCGTTTCTTCAAGGGGCTTTTATCATGTCTGTTAGTCAACTTTAATTCCTCAAGCCTGTCTGTTTGTATTTGAAAGTAGGCCATTCCACTGGTAAAATAACCATATCTTTGGTAAAATAATCTGTGCCTCCAGTTGTCTTCTGTTACAAAAGAAATCAGATTCTTATTGTACTTAGGTAAATATATCTCCATAGTATAGAATACTCATAAATAATTTTCAAATTCTGGAGAAATCAAGTAGAGAATATGAAATATCTTTCAACTTTTGCTCACAGGAATATACTTTACTCAATCATGAGAAGCTGTAAATAGCTGAAAAGAAAAATGTTGTCTTGACTCTGAAAAATGACAAAAAGGCTCAGCAACTTTTCAAGCAACAAGTCATAAAAGGATTATTTTGGTCTTCTATTAGTTCAGTCCATGAAGTTAACTTTGTCTGACCTTGAGCCAGCAGTCCTCATAAACATACAGCTATCTATGAGAGTCCTGGAAGTTTGTTTTGTTTTTTTCCTATTTCAATGCCCCAATCTTTAGTTATGAGAAACCTGTATTCAGGAGAACATTTCAAAGAGCAAACACCTTTTGAATAGTTTTAAAAAAAAGAACTACAGTAATCTGTGCATGACAATTATCTCAGGACAGCCACTGTTTTATTAATTTTACTTTGATTTTTTTGAGACAGGGTCTCAAGCCACCCAGGCTGGAGTGCAATGGCACAATTATGGCTCACTGGAGCCTCACCTTCCTGGGATCAAGCGATCCTCTTTCTTCAGCCTCCAGAGGAGCTGGGACCACAGGCAAGTGCTACCACATACAGCTAATATTTTCATTTTTTTGTAGAGATAAGGTCTCACTATCTTGCTCACGCTGATCTCAAATAGCTGAGCTCAAGCAATCCTCCCATCTTAGCCTCCTAAAGATCTAGTATTACAGGCACGAGCCACCGTGCCCAGTGAGGACATTACAGGCCTGAGCCACTGTGTCCAACGAGGCCATTGTTAAAGACACAATCGACAGAGAAATCCGGTCATTTCTGTGGCACATTACAATTTAACATAATAAACATAATTATTAGTGATAACGTACATGAAGACATATTAGAATTATAGGAACCATATAATTTTGGAATACATACTAATACCATATTTATATAAATATAACCCAAAGAAAGTTAAACATAATTTTGTATTTGACAATGTTTTCTGTAGGTTAATATACCAAATAAATGAAATATGTCTCTTTTGGACTTCAGGAGACCTAATACTTAAAAGACTAATGAGTTAAAATAAAAATTCTTAGTTTATAATTTTATTTTTCAAAGTTTGCGAATGTTAAAGGCTTAAAACACTTCATATCACCAAATAGAATCCCAGATAACCACAAATCATTTGCTTAGCCAAAATGATAGCTCAAAAATTTAAAAAGGTAAAAGCCTTTATTCATTGGTAGAGAGGAGACTCTGCTCTCCCAACAACAGGACCAAATAAAGTCAGCATGAGGCCATCTGAGTCTTTATCTTCTCTCTCCCCTACTTTTTCCAGTTTATTTAGAAGACAAAAAATACTTTATTATCGCTCAATATTATACAGAAATCTTGTTTAAAGAGAAAACCAAATTTTACCTTTGCATTAGTGTTTTATTAATGTCAAACCCAATTTTTACATAAAACCTTATAAACAAACCTATCGAATCTAAATCAGTTTGACTCTAACTGTTTACAACTTTCTACTAAACAACTGATTAATGCTCAATGCAAACTCTGTTTATCGCACATAAGCGTGCAGAATCTGGGCCTGTGTTTTGTGATTTTTACATTAACGATCATTGTGTAGAAAAACTAAGTAACCCGCTTGAAGTTTTGGCAAGCTACTCACACTCACACACAGAACTCTCTTTACAAGACCAATCTTCTACAAACCTTTTATAACTTGCTTAAACCTTACGTTTTGTCCTATTATTTTTTTAACTTAAGACAAATTTTAAAACCTCTAATTTAGACAAGATTAAGATTACTTTTTAAAACAAAAATCGTATCTTTAGGTCTTTTTATAATTTTTTTATGAAAAGACATTTTGTAATTTTTATATGCCTTGAATGTAAATGTTTTCTCAGTAGTATCGGTTACACGTGTTACAGTGTTAAATCTTCACAACTTTTATTTTTAGTGAAAGCAGTTTTAATTTCATACCAAGTGCAGAGCCTAGGACACAGGACAGAAATGAAGATAATGTCTGACGCTTTCCAACATAGCTAGGGGGCATGGCTAACTCAACATGTCCCCAGGCTTTACCTAGAAGCTACTGGCTCTAATGCAGGCAGGTTGGACAATTACAAAAAGTCACAGATATTTATAACCTTAAAACAGCTAAGAGAATATCTGACCTGCCTAATTTAGACCAAATGTCTAAATGTTGAAGAAATAATGTTATTGTACCAGTAATCTTTAGAGCTATCTTTATTATTCAAGGATTATTAGAGTCATGTGAACTACAAAGCATTGTAGTTAATTTTTTTGATAAAATATTTTATTTATGTGCATATATATGCCAATTAATTAGAGCTCTTTTATATAGTTTGTTAGCAAAATGTTATATATATGAAGCATATAAATACACAGACATAGAGAAGCAGATGTGGTAATGTTATATGGATTCTTCTTTTGTCAGTTTTTAAGTTTTTCTTTTTCATTTTAGATCATCAGTCTCTTGATTACCTGTTCCCTGCCCTAAACAGTTTTTAACCAGGCAGTTCTAAATTTTTATTTTAAAGGGATAAATCTTAGGTGAGATAAAATAGATAATTTATATTTTATCTAAACCAAGGAAAAATGTGGGGGTTTCAGTCAGGATGGCCAGGAAAGGCAGACACTCTTCAATTTGGAGATTTTCTTAAAGTTGTTAAGTTTTTAAATGGTATTATTGACTTTGGAGTGGAATCTTTTAAGGAACAGAACCAGGAAAGCATGCAGTTTCTAGGGCCTGATAAGCAGGCAGAGCTGGAAGGCAAAACAGGTTCCCCTAAATGAGGAATGTCATTTTTATACTGAATCCTGGGTCCCCTAAAGAGGGAAACAATATGGGATGACACCGTGCAATGCTTCCATGGTGTATTTCATTGTAAGGACATTTCCTCAAGGCTGCTGGACAACGCAACGCCAATCAGCCCACTCTGTAATCAGCCCGTAAGAGCACACCTTTCTTATTTAAATGTGCAAATAAAAGAGTATCACCCTGTAATAATAATCAGTTACTGTAAGCAACTTCCATTAGTCATTTTAAAAAGTATATATATTTTTTTATCTAGCTATTACACAACAAGATTAATTTTTTTTTCATAACGCAAAGTAATTTCAGGTCCCTGGCAAGAGTCAAAAAGATTAGATACAAGAGGAAGGAGGAACAGACAGGAGTAAATGGAGGATCAGAAAGAATTCCACTGAATGAGAAACTTTTACAGAGGGAGAGCAAAAGCTTTAAAATAGTATCTGTACACATGTAGCTCAGTATCAGTCTTAATCAATTGATTTTTGATTGCAGAGACATCAAAAGAAAATCTCCTGAAATCTTTTATTAATAGATTTTAGCCAAGACAAATAGACAGTATTTTTGGCTTTAAACTTTTCCAAAAGTAACTGCCCATGAGAAACTTGTAAGCCTAACTAAGGTTATGACTTAACCGTGGATGCATGAAGTGTCTCAGAGAGATGGCAAGCAGTTTTTGCAAGATTGAGAATTTCTCCAAAGATAACTTAGAAAGCAAAATTTAAGACAAAGTTAGAAGATGTCCATGGAGAAGAACATAATCGAATGAATGTCAAAGAGTCTCCAAGTATCACACTCGAAAGGGCTTACTGCTTGAGCTGAGAATCAAACCCAGGCTGCTGCAGTAAAAGGGAAAACCTTAGTTACTGAGCTACAGTATGGGGCAGTTGCTGCTGGTCAGAAATAATGTAGGTCATTCAGCAACAAGCTTCAAGGATTTTAACTCCTCAAGAGAATCCTTAAAGCTAGCTGTGACATTATCATGTATCCTTTCAGACTGGCTGCCTGACGTGAACCCCGAAATTCCAACCCTCTGTATGTGGGAGAACAAGGGACAGCACCCTCACATGGTTACAAAGTCACGTTTTCAAGGACATAAAACAAAATAAGAGGGAAACTTCAAATTTTTTGTTTCAGGGAGATGTAGCAAATTTTGTAACTGACCCGTCTGCAGGGCCATCCCAAACAGTGGGCTGATAGGGATCCTAGGCCTCTTAGGTTTCACAGTATTAATGCTATCTCTAGGAGCAACTGTTGATGTTAGTAATCTGAAGGCCTCTGGCTGTATGACTCGTGAGCCATATTTTCTAATCTTGTAGTTAATTTGTTGGTTTTATAAAGGTGGTCTGGACCCCAAGCAATTAAGGGATTTGTTTCAAGGAGGGGTCTCATCTTTTTTCAAAGTTAGGCTATCAACTCCCCCAGTTAATGTTCCCTTTGTCCAGGAAGGAAGAAGGGTAGCTTGGAGATTAAAGGCAAGATGGATTCCGTCAGGTCATATCTCTTTTACAGTTATAATTTTCTCACTGTTAGAATTTTTTCAAAGGTGATTTCAGGATAAACATAATGTACTCATTCCCATTCTATAAGAGAGAAATAGACAAAAAGAAAAAAGTAACAGCCCCTAAGTAAATTTGAAGTCCAGCAGGGCAAACATTACATCTTAAAGCTGGAGAGCATTTTTTTTTGACTCCTTAACACACTGGGGTGAGGGTTGGACTGGCAAGCCCTAGGCAGTGTCACCCCTAAGGTTTTCCTGGTGAATCACCCATGGGTGCTTGTACCGGTTGAAATTTTCCCAGGCAGGCTTTGAATGCCATGGGGGACTTCACAATCCTGGGATCCTGGTAGTGGCACCACTTCCTCAACTCCACTAGGCATTACCCACGTGGAACTCGCTGCAGTGACCTCACTGCTGTAGCTTCACTTGGCATTGCCCTGGTGGGGACTCTTTGCCACAGTTCCAACCCCACATTTGTGTTTGGCATCCTTCTGCGGGGGGCTCTCTGCAGTGGATCTGCCCCTGTGACGGCTCTCTCTCTCTCTGGAATCCAGGCTTTCAAAAATAATACTTTGAAATTTGTGGAGGCTGCCAAGCCACCATGTATGCCTTAAGTGTAAGAAATACTTTTATTTTCTTTATAAATTACCCAGTATTTTGTATTCTGTTTTAAGCAACAAAGAAGGCACTAATACAGAAAACTGGTAATGACAAGTAGGTTGTTGCTGAAAATAAATACCTAAAAATATGAAAGTGTCTTTCAAACTGGGTGATGGGCAGAGGCTAAAAGAATCTTAGAGAGGCAGACTAGTAAAAGCCTATATTCTTGTGAGGGTTTAGAAGATAAGAAGACTAGGAAATATTTGTGAGTCCTTAGAGATTGATGAAGTGTTTGTGACCACACTGCTTTGGGGGAAATGGTACCATATAATGCATGCTAGCTCAGAGCATACACAGCCTTCTAGAGAACCTTTCCCCACAGTTACACAGTATTGTCATCTAGCAGGTGCTGAAACTGTAACTTCCAAAGCTCATTCCACCATTGTTTCAAGTGAGTTGCTTTGGGATTGTAGGGAACATGGTCAATTCATTGAAGTTTCTGAGCACAAGCTCATGTCTGCCCTTCTTTGTCTGTGAAATGAGTTCCTTGTTCAGAAGCAATGCTGTGTGGAACACCATAATGGTAGATAGGCATTCTTTAAGTCCATGGATGGTAGCTGCCACAGAATATTTGCATGCAAGGAAGTAAAATTTATAGACAGAATAACTGTCTTACTATTCCAGGAAGAACAAAATGCTGCCCCTTCCCTGATGAAAGCTGCCCAGTGTAATCAACCTACCACAAGGAAATTGGAAGATCATCCTGGGGAGCGGTGCCATATAGAGGGTCGGTGTTAGTTTCTGCTGCTGACAGTTGGAACACTCTGAGGAGACTGTAACCTGGTTGGCCATGGTGAAAGGAATTCCAGGTTGCTGTGTGCATGCATAATCTCAGTCCCTACCACTTTGGCCACTTTATTCATAAGCCCAGTGACTGATGACATAGGTGCCTGGGAAAAGAGGCTGAGTACTGTCGGAGAATGCATGATCGCATCCACTGGAGGATTAGAGTCCCTTCTCTTCCTTTTATCCTTGTGGAAGTCAATTTACATGTTTTTTTGTAGTCCCTTATTCTGACATAGGGCCATAAATACCTTATGTATGTATGTATGTATGTATGTATGTATGTATGTATGTATGTATTTTGCTTTTGGTAAAAGAGATCTAGTTAGAGAATTTCCCACTATATGAAATGAAAATACCTTATAAGTGCTCAGAGGGCTTGTTACTGCACTTCCACCATGTTGAATCTGCATAATATTATCAATGCCATGGACCAGTGTAGTATCTTGTGGAAGGAGAAGGTGATCAACTTCCTGCAAACTGTGACTGGGTTATGGAAAGTTGATATTATGTTGGTAGGACAGAGAAAGTATGCTACTGGCATTGACCCTGAAATTAAGCTACTTCTGGTGGGCCTTATGAAGAGAAATAGAGAAAAAGCCTCACTAGATCAATAGGTGCATACCGGGTACCAGGGAATGTGTTAATTTGCTCAAGCGATAAAACCACATCTGATACAGCAGTTGCAATTACAAGGAACACTTGGTTTAGCTTGTGGGAATCGACTGTCACTCTCCAGGATCCATCTGTCTTTTGCACAGGCCAAATTAGACAGGGATGTGTTGGAATCTCCACCCCTGCATCCTTCCAGTCCTTGATGGTGGTGGTAACCTCTACAGTCACTCCAGAGGCGTGGTTATGAATTTGATTTTCTATTTTCCTAGGTAGAGGCAGCTCTAGTGCCTTCCATTTAGATTTTCCCACCATACTACCCCTCACTCCACAGGTCAGGGAACCAATGTGAGAAATGTGCCAGGTGCTAACTATGTGTATTACAGCTATGCATCTGCAACTAGAGAAATGACCAGAGTATGTGTTTGGGGCCACTGGACCCACTGTATTTTCATGTGACTAAAATGTAATCACCTGACCTCCATAAATCCCCACTCTGACTGGCATTCTGTAGTGATGTTTTGAGTTGAGTCTTCTGGAATCAATGTAAGGTCAGAGCATTGTTTACTAGTCCTGAAAAGTTCTTATTATATTCCTTTCCCCAAAACACAGCTGTTAAAAGGTTATAGGTTCCCTTTTGGGAAGGATCAGAGAAAGATTAACAGTATAAAGTTTTTGTGGTATACCTGGGTCCTTCATCAAGGGGACCTGTCTGCTCCCTTTTTCAAGGAGTTCTTGAATGTAAACTGGCTCTTTTCTTGGATTTTAGTAGGAGCTGTGATTTTCTATTATTTTGATTTGAGTTCGACTTTTGTAAACGTAATGTAAATGTTTTCAGTATTTTCATATCAATTAAGAGTGTATTAGGCTTCTTTTCTATTTTACTTCTAAGAACACCACAGTCAGACTAGCCAACACCATAGATCTACATGAGTCAGATGAATCTGAATGTTGCCTTACCTTTGCTGCCCATTTTGGTAACTATATCCATCTTGACTCTGAAGGTTGACAGCTGCCACATGGCCCTGGGACCTGTGAGATCCAGTTATTCCCAACGCATTTAAATGTTCTATTGAGTGACTGTGGCTCTCAGTATAAGCTTCCGCCTACAGAGAAAGTTATTCAAGGATGCTGGGCTCCCCTCACAAATCAGTTTCTTAAAGTATTGCTGAAAGGTTTATCTTCTGGAGCCTCCCAGTGCGGATGAGTAGATTTCAAATGACAAACGCACTCTGGAGTTCCATTTGTTCTAAGCCTTTGAGTCTCTCCCTCTATGTTAGGCCAAGGGAGATCAGGCACATCCAACTAGCTAAATAAGAGCCATCTTTTGATTCATGGTTTAGCCAACCAACCAAACTGTTAGGGCCGTTTCTAATTTCCCATGCTGCAAAACTAAAAGCAGTATCTTTTTTAATGTGTCCGTATCAATAAATCTGGGTTATCCAACTTTATGTTTCCTCCACTATTATCCCAACTCTTAATATCCTTTCCCACACATGTTCTCCAGATTTCTGCTTGTATAAATTATAAACTCAAATTGTTTTCTTGAACTGTCGTGGACCTCCCATGGGCCAAACTTTGTATATCATTTTTTAAGGGCCTTTTGAGATTTGAGTCTACTTACAGGTCTAGAAGCAAAAAGGAGTGGTGGGTGTGGGGCCTTAGGAGAATCAGCATTGCATTCCTCGGCAACTGCCTCAGGGGAGTCCATTACCTTTCCCTCAGGCAATGCTGGCGTAATCCCTTCAGACAGAGGTGGAACCACCTATACCAGTGTGGGTGAAGAGGTTACTGCCAAGAGGGTGTCAGCAGGGGTCAGGTCTGCCGGCAAAGAAAACATCAGAATTTCAGAGCTCAATGTCTCCAGCCTCAACATGGTCTCCCCAAATGTTCCCAACCCAATCTACAGGGTTCCATTCTTTTCTGAACAGTGCTGTAAATTTACAGTAGATACCTTGCTAGGCTGAAAGTTCAACTTTCATAGTAATTCAGCCAACTGCATGGTGAGGGTTTGTGTTTGCCTTTTAGCATTTTCAGCCCTGTGACTATAGGAGATATAATTCTCACTCAGAGCACTGTAAGAGGCTCTAAGGCTTTTTATGTGAAGCCGAATGCTGAAATTCGAATCTCTTAGCTTATCTTTTTTTATCAATCACTTTACTCATCAACGCCAGAAGCAGAGTCCTTGATTTTCCACCGATGTTTAAAGATGTATTGTCAGAGTCACCAAGTTCCTTGTCTTTTATTCGTGTTTGATTAGGAGTGTCAAAGGTAGATGTTTGTATATCTCTTAAGCAGTTTATGACATGGACTAGCAATGTTCTCTGGACTATTAGAAATGGATTCTTTAGCATTTTTAGATTTCATCAATTTAGAAATCTAATTTTAGAAACCCCAAAACCAATGAAAGAAACTCATTCCTAAAATTCTGGTTCTCTACAATCATTCATGGTTTAAAAAATAAAACCTGTTTTAGCATTCTTGGGAGACACAAGACCAATGGGATACATATATAGATAGACAGATGGGGGGTGGCATTAATTAGATAAATTGGATCACATGATTATGGAAGCCAAGACAGGTCTTCTGCAACCTATAAACCATGGAGTACCAGTAGCATGGCTCATTCCAAGGCTGAAAGTCTCAGAATGAGGAAAGCTGACAGTGTAATTCTCAGTCTGAGGCCAAAGGCCTGAGAACCTGGAGGGATGCAGAAGGAAGTCCTGGAGTCCCAAGGAAGAGAATCTGAAGTTAAGATGTCCAAGGGCAGGAGGCAGAGAGTACCAGCTCCAGGAGAGAGGGAGAGCAAAATCATTCTCACTTCTTTTTCATTCTCTCAGGGCCCCCAGCCCACTGGATGGTGCCTCCCCACATAGAGGGTGGATTGTTATAGAATTCAACTCAGGTCTGCTCACCCAGTGCAGTAAGACTGATACCTACACTGACATTTGCAGTGGGAGGAAAGGAGGTGTTTATCTGGACATTGTCAAGCAAGGCGGATGAGGCAGCTAATGCTTAAGTTCCCACTTCCCCAGTGGCTTGCAAGTAAGAGTTATTTTTAAAGCAGGGGTAAATTTCAGGAAAGCAGAAGTTACTGGCAAAATTATGAATCAGTACATGGAGGTTACACATGGTTTTGTCCTGAAAACTCATGATATTTTGAAGCAAGGGCTTACAGCCCGTACATAGATTCAAAGGTTTTCTGATTTGTAATTGTTTAAAGAAAAGAAGCTTTGTTTTAAAATTTGGGGTCAGCAGAAAAAAGTGTTAGCTCTCTGGCTAATGGATTTGACTCTGTCTAGGCCCGTCAGGAAGAAATTTAGTACAAAGAATGACAGTCAGAATTCAGTTTTCAGGCCCTCCTTATCTGAGGTGTACTTGTCAGCAGATGCATTTGAAGGGTGTCTAGGTTTATGGAAAATGACTCAGGAATGGATGTTAAGATGTGATCTTTAGAGCAAAAGAAACATCTGACTCTAACTTCCTTGGCTATTGTTTAGGCTACTATTACCTTCTTACTTACCAAGTTCCTCATTTCCTTCTCAGTGCTCGCTGGGTACCTGGGATTTGCCTTGAAGGGACTCAGGATTCTCCTTTATTTCCCTGCTTGGGGAAGCTACAGGCCCCTAACAAAGGGTCCCTGCTCCATCACAGGATCTACCCAGTCTGTCTACCGACTCACATTTCAGAGCTTTCTGGTGAAACCCTCATGACCCAGAAGTAATGCTTTGCCAGTGTTCTAGGTGTTCCTTAATACAGTTAGTTGACTCCTAAAACTCAGCATCACAATTGCGTTTTGGAGTGTTACCCAAGTAGGTTTCTCATAACGAGGGCACATTGCTGGGTTAATGTCAAGCAACCATGATTTCCATAGAGTCAAACTGTGACTGAGAGGTGGTTACTGCCTCTGTGCAGTATTCATCTGTGCAGTTCCCACAGGGGACAGTGGGGTGAGATAAAGGTGGTATTGAGCTGTCTAATATGCAGTAGTCACCTTGAGCAGGTTTTATAAGGGGCTGTGTTCGATGACCACCTTGAGGAACGTGGAGGCGGCCACAAACTGGAGACTGTCATGGGTTTCTAAGCCCTATTTCTGGCATAAGAATGTCAAAACTATGTACATAATGAATGCCCAGGTTATATAAAATTAGAACAATTCACAGCAACATTTAAAATAGGAATTCTAGTAGCCCAATAATAACTCTCTTTCTAATCCTGAGGCAGCAGGTAAATCGAGTTGTTCAACTAATTTGAAACTATAGTTAAACATATTTTCGCAATAATAGACCAGAATACATATAAGCCGATGAAATTTTATACAGAGAAGGGGGCAGTCACAGAGAAAAAATAGTGTGTTCCATTTATTTTAAAAGGCATATTTTTTACATCTTTCAAATAGAGATGAATCATAATATCGTAAAAAGACTATCCGTTAGAAGACAGTCATAATGTGATCGACTTTGTGTGCACACACGTGAAATTGTTGTAAAAAACTTCAATTTTCACATTCTGGTGGTATCTTCAACATCACGACTCGTAGAGGGATGTTAGTAGATGAGAAACATAATCTAACAGAAACCTTATAGTTCTCTCACTACAAATGCAGCATCAGCAAAGCTCCTAATTAGCAGAGATGATGCTAATGTAGGAAAAATCCATGGACAAGGTGAGTTGCACAGTGATTTAGAAGAGTTTTATCCAAATATGAGAAATTTTAGAAAATCTTCATTACCTATTTTGCTTTCACTTTCTATCTCATAGAAAAACCAGTGATCATAGGAGTGATGTAACATAAATACACACATTTATATAAGTTCAAAAGTGGAAAAAGTAAAGTAGAGGTTCCTCTTCAAAGATTTTCCTCCCCATCTAATTAGGAATAAATAGTAACTTCTCTTAGAAGTAAAATTTATTCAAAGACCTATGCTAACATTCTTAAATATCTGCTAGCTGTAATAAAGAAATCAATGTACTTTATGTTCTTAGCGCCCACAATTTAGCCTAAATATTTGCCCTGGCTTGTGTATACTGGTCCAAGCATTAGGTCGTAGCCTGTTCCTCTTCCTTATTTGAAGGTGTTTTTACCTTTCTCAGCATTCTACAAGTGACTTCCTCCTTCCTTTGTTCTCCTCTGCCTTTGCCTCTTTTGAGAAGTTCTAAGTTGCTAGCCAGTCGGGACAAATACAGAATGTGAGGTCCGGTTCCAGCCAGTGGAAACCGGACACAGCAGTAGGGTGGATGCATTAGTATAAATGACCCTGTCTCTGTTTGGTGTACTCTCGTGGCAAAACTGCTAGTGAGTGTGCCCTTTCTGCAGAAAATGTAAAAATGGCCTTGCTGAGGAAATTTAACTTATGTTCCAGTGCTAATTCTTTATGGCACCAGGGAACAGGCATTTCAAACAAAAAGTATTATTTTCAACATATATGAGATAAAATTTTTGTCATGTCATAGTTTTTCAATAGTTTTAGGCTTTTATTGTGATGCAAAATAATGATGTATTTTACAGTTGATACCTATGGTACTTCTTGCAATTACTTGAAAAAAACTGTCACTAGTAGCAAATACTGACTTAGTGTTTAGTGTAGACCTGTGTAAACCAAAAATGACTGATACAGATCTAATTCAATTCAGAGAATTATTTTGCCAAGTTTAAGAATAAAGAAGCATAAACCACAGTAGGCTCTGTGGCCTGTGCTTTTTCCAAAGAGAGTTTTGCTGACTTCCATATTTATAGGGGTGAGAACAGGCAGGAGCAGATGGAGGATAAAGAAAGTGGGGGAAAGACAGTGAGGCAAGTGTTACATTCTTACAAGGCCTTGATTAGCACTCACTGCATCTAGATGTTGCATGTGTAAAGAGGAGTGGGGAAAAAGTTGATTGTACATTTGTCTTGTGCATGGGAGATCTACATTTTACATAAGATAAGCAAATTTGTGAAATTACAGCTGTCTCTTTGGGAACAAAAGAAAGGTAGTGTTAGCATGACTCAGTTCCCAACTTTTCCTTTGGCATAGTGAGTTTGGGGTCCCAAAATTTTATTTTCCTTGTTCTTCGAAATATTTCAGAGAAAGCATTTTAGAAGAAAATGATTGTTTGGTTATATTTTTCCCCTAATCTTTCAACATTAGGATGGTTTTTCGTAGAAGGTAAGGACCCACATTTTTAAGGAGACTCATTCTAGAAGGTTGTGAAGAAATAAGGGAAATAAGAAATAAAGGGAAAAAATAAGAAAAAAGAGACACAGCTGTATTATAGCAACAAAGTGGAAAGCAATCCTTGAAAACCAATAGACTATATTGCAGAGCAGTCCGTATATAACTAGACAGTCATGAAAATGTTTTATGTAAATAAATAAGATGCTGTTATTTCTCCAAAGTTTAAGTTTTCTAGTTTCAGTCTGCAGGGCTTTACAAAAAGCACAGTTTTAATTTCTACTAATTCCAAATCAGAAAAAAATGGGAAAGAAAAAATCATAAAACATAGAAAATGTTAGTTTGGAGACTTGTAACCAGTAAAAGAATTTAGGATCCAGTCTGGCTAAATTGTAGACAAATAATAAAACTAGAAGGCAATGAACAAGGCTAGAATCCAATAAAAGATATACTATAGTTTCATTTGAAATACATTTTTCTCTCTACAGTCTTCCATTTTTACTAAAGCAAAATCATAGTAAGACCAATTTATTTCCAACGTAAGTTTTAGTTTTATTGTATTTGGCCTGATTATTTTCATAAAGTGCTACAAGAATAATTTTTTTTTTTTTTCCGTATAGGCTCTTCTAAGTTGGGATTGATGGAACTTTTTTTTAAACGAAGCGTCTAAGATTTGACTTTTCAAAAAGCCCCTCAAGCTCAAACAAGGATTTATTGTGCCTGCAAATAACTATGAACTGGGTGAATTCCTCTCATCTTGAGGTCACAAGATTACTTGGAGTTCCTAGGCCTGTCAGAAAGTGACATGCTTTTCTTACCACAGGTCAGAAAATCTGTAAATAAACCGCATAGAGAAGGTACAAGGTCAGTCTCTCCAAGGGAATTTTATTGATTCTGTTATTCAACCTAAATTTCTCAAAGCAATCTGCTCATAGATGAAAATATGCTATTCCAGCCAAAGCCTTGGCAAGGTAGCCAGTGTCTCCAATTGTGTCCCGTTACCAAAAAAAAAAAAAAAAATTCTTATTGATCATATGCAAATAACTTATATTACCATAAATTAAGAATATTCAGAAATAGTTTTCAAATTCTGGGAAGGTCAGGTAAGAGAAAGAAGTATACTTCAAATTTTTCTCTAAAGAATATATCATATTTAATTGTTAAAAACTAAATAGCTAAGAAAAAAGTTTTCTTTACTCTGAAAAACAAAACAAAAATAGTCGTCAATGTTTCAAACAAAAAAGTCCTAAAAAATTGTTTCAGTCCTCTGTTACTTCAGTGCCACATAATTAACTTGTTCTGCTTTATATGGGCTTAGCAGTCCTCGTGAACACACCAGCCTGTTAATTAGAATCCTGGGAGTTTTGTTGTTTTTATTGTTGTTGTTTTCATTAGTACAATGGCACAATCTTCAAAGTTACCAGAAACCTAAATTCAAGAAAACCTATCGGAGTCATTTCCATGAACTCCCCTAAAGAAGCAAGTTTTGTGCCACTGGTTTTTTATAAACCACTTATTGAGAATAATCAAAGTAAAACAATAATTGTGAATGGAAAATTCTTAGGACAGTCATAGCTACAGGTACAGTTGACAAGAAATTTGGTTAATTCTGTGTCATACAACAATTTAACATAATAATCATAGTTATTACTGACAACATACAATAAGCCATGTCAGAATTATTGGCATTCATATGATTTTGGAGCACATGCTAATATTTAGGCAAATAGAACTCAGAGAAAGTTAGATATTCATCCATGTTTCCTGTATGATTTTAACATATTAAATATGGCTATTGTGTCCCTATTGGACTTCAGTTGACCTGATATTCAAAAAGCTAATTAGGTCACTAAGGCTGAATTAGAATTTGATTTGGAAAGTTTGTCCAATATCAAAGGTTTGAAACACTTGATATTATAAAATAGAATCACCAATCACCATGAAATAAATTACTCATTAAGCCAAAAATTATATTTTAAGTATTTCTAAAAAGTAAAAACCTTTATTCTTTGATATAGAGAAAGGAGATTCAGTTTCTCAAATAATAAGGTCTAATATCAGGCTGAATGCACTGGCTTGTGCCTGTAGTTCCATTGCTTTGGGAGGCCAACGCGGGAAGATCGTTTGAGCCCAGAAGTTCAAGGTGAGCCTGGACAATGTAGTGAGACCTCGTCTCTACGAAAAAGAAATTTCTAAATTATCTGGTTGTATTGGTGTGTGCCTGTAGTCCTAGCTACTACAGAGGTTTCGGAAAGAAGATCACTTGAACTCATGATGTGGAGGTTGCAGTGAGCCAAGATCACACCACTGCACTCCAGCCTGGGTGACAGAGTGAGACCCTGTCTCAAAAAAAACAAACAAAAAGACCCTGAAAAAGCGAAAAACCAGTAAGAGCTAATAAATATAGTATGAGACCAACTGAACCTTACTCCCCTCTTCTTGTTTTACAATTTGCCCAAAAGGCAAACAGAAATCTTTCACTCTCTCTTAATATTAAGCAAAATCCTGGTTCAAAAAAGAAAACCAACTTTACCTTTGCATGGTGTGGTATTAATACTAAAGCAATTTTAGTAAAATTTTATAAATGAATTCATCAAATATCAATCAGTTTAATCATAAGGTAAGATTTAAGAAATGCTTGTTAACCTTTTACTCTTTTCTACCGAGGAGCAGGTAAGTTCTCTGAGAAAATCACGTCCAGATTCTACGCTTGCGTAAGTGTGCTTTTTAATGTTCAGTTTATAGAAAGACTAAACAATACCCTTTAAATTTCAGCCCACTTGGTCACACACAGTATTTCTTTTGTAAGATCAATCTGCTACAAATCTACAATTCAGTCAACCTTTCAGTTTTGTCCTATCATTTGACCTTAGAACAACAACAAAAAAATTCTTTCTGAGCTTCCTTTACCTTTTTTTTTGAGATGAAGTCTCACTCTCTCACCTGAGCTGGAATGCAGTGACACAGTCATAGCTTACTATAGCTTCAAATTCCTAGGCTCAAGCAGTCCTCCCATCTTTTAGCGTCTTGAGTAGCTGGGACAACAGGCACACACTACTGTGCCTGGCTAATTTTTTTTTTTTTTTTTTTGTAGATGGTGTCTCACTTTGTTGCCCAGGCTGGTCACAAACTGGTGGCTTCATGTAGTCCTCCCATTTTGGCCTCCAAAAGTGCTGGGATTACAGGAATGAACCACCACACCAAGCCCCAACTTTCTGTATCCATTTAGCTTTATCCATCAATTTTAAGACAATTTGAAAACCTCTACAGTAGACAAAATTTCCCTTTGTAAGGAAAACACATTTCTCATACCTTTCTGTAGCAATTTTTTTCCTAAAAACACACCTCACTTTTATTATACACTTTGGATGCATCTAGTAGATTTCATTATATATGTTAATTGTAATGTTAATTACCTCTCAGTAACTTTTATTTTTAGTGAAAAAATCTAGGAAGTAAGAAATTTTACTTATGTATCAGGTGCAGAACCAGGAACAAAAGACAGAGCTGCCAATAATGTCTGACCCTTCCCAGTGTAGTCAGAGGGCACATTTGGGCTGAGGAGAACACTATATGTCCCCTGACCTTACTATGGCTATAAGAAAGACAAGTCAATTATTTAAAATATCACAGAGCACTTCAGACCAAATATCTAAATTAAATTCTGAGGACATTTCTATTTTATTTTACCAATTATTTTATTTTAGGTTCAGGGGTACATTTGCAGGTTTGTAATACGGGTAAATTTTGTGTCACAGAGGTTTGGTGTGCAATTTTGGAACATACACTAACACATTTATATACATTGAACCCAAAGAAAGTTAAATATTTGACCATGCACTTTAATCAAGGGTAGTCTTATGAATTTTAAGCAATGCTAAGAGATTTTAATATACAGAGCCAGAATTCTCAAGGATAGTCATGACGCTTTTGTCAGTCATTTGTAAAATTTGATATTCTAATCAATTATTAAGAATATGAGATCTCTAAAATCTTTTTTATGTATCTCCAATCAAAACTTTGTGGAGGAGACAGTGATTTTTACCAAAACAGGAAGAAAAAGTGATTGCACAATTTACGTAAGTTGAGATCTTTGAACATAAGAATTTATAACTGACTAACAAGAAACCTAGACTTAAAGCTACCAAATCCAATTAAAAATCCCCAAGCCAGCTCCTTACTTGCAGATGCTGGTCCACGTTGAAGACTGCTCTCTGCCTCCTCAGAAGCAGCAAACTCCCAGAAAGGGAGTTCTACAAGAGAACATACCTCGGACCTCAAACAAAAAGTTTGGGAGATCAGGGATCTCTGTAGAAGGAGGCTCCCAGACCTCAGCAAATCATCCAGTCAGTCAGAACAATACAAAGCTTCCAGCTGGCTGTACCCGGGCCCTGCTCCGAGAGTTGCTACAGGCCAAAGGGCCAGACTCTGCACAGAACTCACTGTGGTTTCCACAATGGAAACCAAAATGGGACTGAGGCGGGTCTCAGTAAATTGAGAGCTAGATCTTGCCAACTTTGAGGATGTGCATGGGAAAAAGAAACACAAGTTACAGCAGGATCTGTGGTCTGTGCTTTTTCCAAAGAGAGTTTTGATGACTTCAGCATTTAAAGAGGAAAAAGTGAGCAGTAAGGGAAGGAGGGAGAAAGAAGAAAAGAGGGGTAGGCCCTGAGGCAAGTGTTTGCATTCTCGTGAGGCTTTGATTAGCACTCACTGAAACCGCATTTTACGTATGAAAATGGAGTGGAGGATAAAGTTGATTGTACATTCATCTCATGTTTGCTACATTTTGCATAAGATAAAGTAACCGTGTGTAATTACAGCTATCTATTTGGGGAAAAAAGGAAGTCAGTTTTAGTGTGACAGGGTTCCCAAGCCTAACTTTCCCATTGGGCATAGTGATTTAGTGTCCTGAGATTTTATTTTCCTTTCAAACCTGCTATTAGTCTACACATTGCGTGTGTGAGTGCATTAACTCGTCACAGCATCTCAGGAGGTAGACACTACTGTGAGCTTCTGAAAGTTCTAGCTCTGAATCTGAGCTAAAGCCCTACAGGAAGAGACTTAGAACAACCTTGAGCTTGACCCAGTGTCCCTACTCACATCAGCTGTGTTAGAATAGCATTTCTCTCTTAGAGTAAACACTTTCTATGTGCAAAGAATTCCTCACCTACCCTATTGTAATGAAATTATTTTCCTATATTAAATTCTAAATACTCTATTGAATTCTTTTTTCTCCGGAGGTCTATAATCCACCTGAAATTGATTTCGTGCATGAGTTTAAAAGTTAAATTTTATTTCTCCAAATGGATATTCAGTATCCTGAAATATTTATTGAAAATTCATCTTTTTCCACTAATTTTTCTTTTGGATTATTTGTTTATATAGGCATCTATTAGATTTTCAACTCTTTTTTACTTTTATTGATTGTTCTTTATTTTATTTTATTATTATTATTATTTTTTTTTTTTTGAGACGGAGTCTCGCTTTGTTGCCCAGACTGGAGTGCAATGTTGCGATCTCAGTTCACTGCAGCCTCTGCCTCCTGGGTTCAAGCAATTCTCCTGGGTCAGCCTCCTGAGTGGAAGGGATTACAGGCACATGTCACCACACCCAGCTAATTTTTTAAATTTTTAGTAGAGATGGGGTTTCACCATGTTGGTCAGGCTGGTCTCAAACTCCTGACCTCATGATCCACCCACCTTGACCTCCCAAAGTGCTGGGATTACAGGCGTGAGCCACCATGCCTGGCCTATTGATTCTTCTATCTGTGTTCAAAGATTACATTTTCTTATTTTTTGGAGCGTTCATTTAACACTAGAAATTTCCCTCCAGAGACTGTTCTCTTCATCACTGTACTACCGAAGACAGGGAAGGATAAAACCGTGCATGTCTTGCACTTACATTAATATTCCCAGCTGTAGTTCAAAAAAACAGCAGGTCATAGAACCTGTGGAGACAAAATGACCCACTTTGGATGCTAATCCACCATGTTACTTCTGGTTTACCCAGGTTCCCTGAATGCCTTCTGATCTCTCATTTATTTGCTGTCCTTAGTATAAAATCATGTCAACAAAAATTATAGGCTATGATGCATGTAGCCTCGTTGTCCATTCTGGAGGGTTGCTTTTAATTGCCTTGCTAAGGCATGTATACCCTTTCCCTGTGGAGTATGAACCCAGGGTCTGGAGAGTAACGGTGTGAACAGCCACCTACCTGCAGCCATCCGAGGTTATGCTCCTGTGTGTACGCCGCATCCATAAATTAACCAGTACTGACAAAATGGATTTTCTGCCTCTTTTAGTTTTTCAGATTCTTTGGCATTTGAGAGTTGCTTCGTGTATACGGCCCTGTAATGGAGCAAATGGCCAGCCAGGAAACCAAAGTATGGACAAGGGGACAGAAGCATCTGTAGAGGAAGTTTTACGATTGGCCCTCGTCATCCATGTGGATGGTGTTGCCCATATGCTACGTGTCTGTGGACCACTTTTGAGGGTGCCTCAAAAGTGACAGAAGGTCTAGAAAGCTTGTTAGTAAAATGCTACTAAAAAGTATGACTCACCGTGGTGAGAAAGATCGCCAAGCAGTGACAGCAGTGAGTTTGCTGCTGTTATTTTCTATGTGAGCGGTCACGAAAGCACAAGTAGCCGCTGAGACAAGTGTAGGGAAGCTGGGAAAAGAATCACAGTGAGAAAGGGATGTGAGAACTTCCATGTCTGTGTTAATGTCTGGGTTTTTTTGGATAAACTTGAAACTCAAGAGGCACAGTTGGAAATCGTACCTTGCCACTTTGTGTGGCTGGGAGAGAGAAAGCTGGGCCAGCTGACTGTGTGGACTGTCCTTGCCAAGCCAGGCTGGGGACGCAAATACCTGCAATTCTTGGGAACCAACCATGGATTCGGATGATGACATAGAGGTTAACTCAGAGGAGGAAGATCATTATCCTCCCCGTTTGAGAGTGAAACTGTTCATGCAGTGGAAAGCCTGATTCCAACACACACAGGCCTGGGCAGGATTACTGGATACAGCAAAAACTTTTAAACAGCTGCCAAGAGAAAGCTTTACGTACATGAATGGTGCAGCCATGGGACACCAGTGGGGATGATATCTCCCTAGAAGGGAATGAACCTGAAAAATCGAGACAGAAGTACCCCCGGAAGTGAAATAATCCCCTTATGGAACAAGATATGGGGAAAGCCTTTTCAGATTTCCTAGAAACTCAAAAGGGAAGAGATGAGTTCTGACTGGTTGCTAAAGGAAAATGGAAAAAGGGAGAAACAAAGTTTGCTGGACTGAAAAAAGGAGTTTAAAAAGTTGCAATTAGGGTTACTAGGAAACAAATGTGGTATGATCTGATTTCAGCTGGGATTGACAATACAGATGGGCAACCCAATGGCATATTAGTGGGGTTTGGAAAGACGTGACTCCTGAACAATAGTTTAGACCCCTTCTTAGTACCCGCCCCCTGCCACCTCTACCAGAAGAGGGAGAAAGACAAGAAGAAGCCCTCGGTAAAAAGATCCCAGTCTCTGCAATTCAGGGGTGGATTTCTTTCCAGCCTGGAGATCATAGGTAGGGTCAAGACTGCTTCTGTGTAAGAGCAATAGGGGGAGACCAGAGGTCGTATTTGGAGCTCACTATTGATTGGAGTGTAAAACAGCACTAAGAGAACCTTAACTTTAGTGGGAGCAGGTGAAGAATGTGTCTTAATTGATGGAAATTCAGAGGGAGACCTTAGTAAGTGGGAAGCTATAGATGGTTGTGAAGGGTTAAAAATCTAAGTGAAACAAACCCCTCTCCTCCTTAGTTTTGTCTAGACTTCCCCCGTTGCTTACTCTCCTGTCTTTATCTCAACTATTTCAGAAAACATCTTGAGTAAGGATGTCTTCTTAGGATGTACTTTACAAACATCTGTGGGGGAATTTCACCTATGACAAAGGCTATATTAAGAGGGGAGGCAAAATGGGAAAGTGGACCTCCCTCCCCCACCGTGTATTGTTTTTTGTTGTTTTTGTTTTTGTTTTTTGAGACAGAGTCTCGCTCTGTCACCCAGGCTGGAGTGCAGTGGCCGGATCTCAGCTCACTGCAAGCTCCGCCTCCCGGGTTCACGCCATTCTCCTGCCTCAGCCTCCCGAGTAGCTGGGACTACAGGCGCCCGCCACCGCGCCCAGCTAATTTTTTGTATTTTTTAGTAGAGACGGGGTTTCACCATGGTAGCCAGGATGGTCTCGATCTCCTGACCTCGTGATCCGCCCGTCTCGGCCTCCCGAAGTGCTGGTATTACAGGCCCTTGTATTGTTAATGTGAGACAATATCATCTTCTGGTAGAACACAAGAAATCACAGCCACTGTGGAGAAACTGGCCAAAGTTAATATTAGCCGGCCAGCCCAGAGTCCTTTCAACCATCCTGTATGACCAGTAATAAAATTTGATGGCACTTCCAACAGTAGACTAGTGGACACTACTAATCTTTCCAAGATACATGCTGCTGTGTGTAATATAACTGAAGTGACTGAGCAATTAATACAAAACAGACACTTACCATGCTGTGTTAGATTTAGCTAATGCCTTCTTTAGCATCCCTTTTACTCTGACTTGCAGGCATTATATTGATGATATTCTAACTTCTGAGGACTGACTTGTCATTGCTACAACAACACCGAGATGCACTGGCACCCTTCTTCAGTCCAGATGATGGGCCATCAACTCACAAAAGTACAAGGCCTGGGACCAGCTGCAAAGTTCCTATGGATCACTCGTCCAGGTAAGACACACCTTACTTCAGGCTTGGTCACTGAGAAAATATAACAATTTTGCATACCTAAAACAGTTAAACAGTTACAAAGCTTCCTAGATCTTTGGGGATACTGGTGGGCTTTCATCCCATATTTGTTTCAATGTTTGCATCCCCTATACTGACTATTAAATAAGCAATCTCAAATGGGCACAGTAGCTCACACCTGTAATTCCAGCACTTTGGGAGACTGTGGCAGGCAGATCACTTGAGGCCAGGAGTTTGAGACCAATGTGGCCAACATGGTGAAACCTCTTCTCTACTAAAAGTGTAAAAAATTAGCCAGACATGGTCATGCGTACCTGTAATCCCAGTTACTTGTGTGACTGAGGCATGAGAGTTGCTTGAACCTGGAAGGCGGAGGATTTAATGAGCTGAGGTCATGCCACTGCACTCCAACGGGAGCAACAGAGCCAGAGACTGTGTCTCGAAAAAAAAAAAGAAGGGATCTAGGATGAAGAACAAGTGGTAGTATTTGAGAAGGGCTAAAATACTGATGGCTCAGGCACAAGCTCTAGTTTCCCCCTTCTGGGATACCAGTGTTTTTAGATGTGACTGTAAATCCTGAAGGGACAGGACAGGTCCTCTGGCATGTGCAGCAGGGGAAAGCAGTTCTTCTAAGATTCTGGTCACTGCTGTGGAAGTGTGCTGAAACCCACTCTTCTCCAATTGAACAACAGGTTCTGGGAGCACGTAAGGCCACGCAGCACATCTGCCTGTAACTGGTCGTCTGCCAGTAACAATGAGAACAGATCTCTCTATTAAGGGCTGGATACAAGGGTTGTTTTCCACGCCTGTATCAGCTATTTCTCAAGCCTCCATTTTACAAAAGTGGCATGCATACCTGGAACAATGTGGTGCCCTCTCCACAAGTCCTTTGGGAGATGCATGCTGTCTTAGAGCCAGGACACTCTGAGACCATTGCTGCCGCTGTGGCAGAGGCCCTGTAGGAGATGCCTCCAGTAACATACAAAGGCACATCTCTGTTCCTGAAAATGCTTGGCACTCAGATGAATGGAGCTGAGGTAACCCTTGTGTATAGATGACAGTAGCTGTACAGTTGCAGACAAATACTATCTGACAGAGAGTGTTGAGGTTTCCAACTATAATAGTGAATGAATCTCTTTCTCCTCGCAGTTATGTCAGTTTTGGCCTTACATAGTTTGACATTCTGTTGTTAGGCACTTAAATGCTTTAAGGATTATTATGTTGTACTGGATAACTGACCCCTTCATCTTTGTGTAATGCCCGTGTTTATTTTTAGTGACTTTCCTTGAAAGACTGCTCTGTCTGTAATTCATGCAGCGACTCTTCCTTTGATAAGTGTTAGCCTAAGCTATTTTGTTTCATCTATTTACTTTAAATGTATACCTGTCTTTATATTTCATAGATTTTACTTAACGTCATTTAATTGGGTTGACTTTGTTGATCTACACTAACATTCTCAGTTCTTTGATTGATGCTTTTAGACTATTGACAACCAATGGAGTTGGATTAATATCAACCATATGTGTTACTCTCTTTGATTTGTTGCCCATGTTCTTTCTTCCCATTATTGTACTTCACTTGTTTTGTGTGTTTAGTGGTTTTGAGAATTGTATGCAATTCTATTTTCTCTCCATTCTTAGCATATCAATTATATAACTTTTTTTTTTCTATTTTATTGGTTGCCCTATGGAATAAAACTTTTATTTTTCATATTCCTAGTTTAGTCTCACAGATAATGGTTTCTGAAAAATAATAATAGCACTGATGTATTTGATTAGGCATGCTTATGTCTATATGTTATGTGTATATAAATATACACGTATGTGTGCATGTGTACTCACGTATAAGTGAAATGAATGACAGCACTAATAGGGAGAACAAAACAGTTAAGATTATTTTGTTATTCTAAGATATTCATACTACCTGTGAGTGACACAGTGTTTTTTGAAAAGTATCTTGGATTCATTTTAAACGTAATATTGCAAACTCTGGATAAGGGTTTTGGACCAAGGGCCTCAGTTCTTTGCTGGCTTTGGCCTGTTTCTGCATTCAGTTCCCTCCCATGTTGGCTTCTCCCATATGGCAAATGTTCCGTCAAAGACACCAAGGGAGGGATTTTGCTAACAAGACAAGAATCATAATCTAATATAACATAATGATCCTACTAATGTTCCATCACCATTGTAGTCTTCTGTTGATTTTGAAGCAATTCACAGTTTCTGACTACATTCATTGGAAGGAATTAGAATACAAAGTTACTTATCAACGTTACTTATACTTAGAGGTGGGAGTCATTGGGTGCCATCTTAGGTTCTACCTGCCACATCTGAACTTCTCCAATATGAAATAGTTTTTCAGTCTTCACTTATTTTCTATTACCTTGACCCTTTTGACAAGAACTAGTCAGTTCTATTGTAAAATTTCCCACAATATGAAGTTGTCTGATGTCTTATCATAATTAGACTAGGGATTATGGATTAAATTCAGTGTTTTCAATATTTATATATATTTAAGTTTAAAGATAAGAGACTGAACAATATAGTATTTATATATATATAAAACATACAGGAAAAATGAATATAAGAAAACTAGAGATGGACAAAAATCATCCATAATAATAGTTACCTTCAGCTGTTAACAAAGATGATGAAATTCAGGAGATACATTCAGGGGGCATCAATGATATTGTTAATGTTCTTTCTGTTTTATAAGCTCAGCAAAGGCTTAAAATAAAATACACTTTTGAAATTTAAGAATAGTTTTAGATTTACAGAGCTGTTCCAAATATAATACATGGAGTTTCCAGAGACTCCATACACCATGTTCCTTAATAACCGCCTTGTATTAGTGTGGGATATTAGTCACAATGAACCAACCAGTATTACACTATTACTAACTCTCCACACTTTATTCAGACTGATTTAGTTTTCATTCAGTGTCGAGTTTCTGTTCCAGGATCCTATCCAGGACACCTCATTGCATTTACAGTTCATGCTCCTTAATCGACTTTGACCGTGACAGTTTCTCCAAGTTTCTATGATTGCTATGACATTGGCATTCCTAATTTGGGATTTCCTTCATGTTTCTTTCATAATTAGACTGGATTGTAAGTTTCAAGGAGGAAGACCACAGAGGGAAAGTGCCATTCTCATCACATGCTGTTAAGGGTACAGAGTATAACATGCTTTATCATTTTTGGTGTTCATTTAACCATCTGAATGAGATAGTTCCAATCAAATTTCTACACTGTCAAAGTACTGTTTTTTTTCCTTCTCTTTTCCATGTTGTATGTTTCAAAAAGAAGCCACTGTACACAACACACAAATAAGAAGTGAAGAATTATGTTCCACTTCCTAGGGACAGAGTGTCTGCAAAAATTATTTGGAATTAATCACAATGAACAAATGCCTGTTCTTCTTCAATTATTCCATATTATTCCATCATTGTTCTACCCATAGGCAAACATGGGTACTTATTTTAATTACACAAATTGCTTCAGTATTGTCCAAGGGACTTTCTTTTTTTCTTTTCTTTTCTTTTCAAGACGGAGTCTCATCTTGCTCTGTCACCCAGACTGGAGCGCAGTGGTGCGATCTCAGCTCACTGCAACCTCCGCCTCCAGGGTTCATGCCATTCTCCTGCCTCAGCCTCCCTAGTAGCTGGGACTACAGGCACCCTCTACCACGCCTGGCTAGTTTTTTGTATTTTTAGTAGAGACGGGGTTTCACCATGTTAGCCAGGATGGTCTCGATATCCTGACCTCATGATCTGCCTGCCTCGGCCTCCCAAAGTGCTGGGATTACAGGCGTGAGCCACTGCACCCAGCTGGGACTTTCTTTCAGTTGAATTGTCTGTAATTTTGAAATCTCCCCATAATTATGGTTTGTTAGTGTTGTGTGGCTGTTTATTGTGTCATTGGTTGGCATTTTCTTCTGGCACTACCAGGTGCTGCAGGCTGATTGTGTTTATTTACTGTCTAACCCTGTTATCCACCAATTCTTCACAATGCCCTAGTTCCTTTGAATGGAAAATGGAATTAGAAATGAAGATCTAGAGACTAGGGTATATTCATTGCCCCTGGGGCATCTGATGACTTGAGGCCTTGTCAGCTGACTGAGCAGAAGAATATACATGTGTATAAATATTTCAACAGGTCTGCATATGTATCTATATTAAACTAACCATGAATTCCATCTAATATTTCTGGCAGCACTTGATCTAATCCAGTACCACATGAAGCTGTCTATCCATTCCAACTTGTTTGTATGTAGCTTGCACCTCTAACATGGAACTAGTTGGCTCTGTTAACTTAATGATATCCAAAAATACATGCATAGCATTTTCAAAAGTGGTAATTTATACACCCCTGGGAAACTACTTTACCAACTAAAACTAAGTCTTCATGTACAAATTATTTGTCCTTTTGACTTAGAATCTCAGGATCTCCCTGTATTTCCTAATTTACTTAGGTCAGCCCCCTTTCCCCACTCTGGTGGGCTTATTTCACACATTTGTTATAGAGTTATATTATTTAATCTCTCTATCATATCAACTAAATAAGGCCTTTTTTGTTTGTTTGTTTGTTTTTCTGGATGCAGTCTCACTCTGTTGCCCAGGTTGGAGTTCAGTGGCACGATCTTGGCTTACCTCAACCTCTGCCTCCCAGATTGAAGGAATTCTCCTGCCTCAGCCTCCCGAGTAACTGGGATTACAGGCATGTGCCACCTGCATGGCTAATTTTTGTATTTTGTATTTTTAGTAGAGGCAGGGTTTTGCCATATTGGCTGGGCTGGTCTCGAACTCCTGTCTTCAAGTGATTCCCCCCACCTCAGCCTCCCAAAGTATTGGGATTACAGGCATGAGCCACAGCGCCCGGCCTAAATAAAGTTTTTATTTTACTGTCTGTGTGTTACGAAGTTCTATAGGTCTTGAATGACATTGTCACATATTCAGTGTCACGTTGTCATATGGAACAATTTCACAGCCCCAGAGACATTTCTTGTACTTTTGTTTAACCCAAGGCTACTGTATTAATCTGTTCTCCCATTGGTATGAAGAAATACCTGAGACTGGGTAATTTATAAAGAAAAGAGGCTTAATTGCTTCATGGTTCTACAGGGTATAAAGAAAGTACAGTGACTTCTGCTTCTGGGAAGGCCTCAGGAAATTTCCAATCATGGTGGAAGGCAAAGGGGGAGCCAGCACTTCACACGGCCAAAGCAGGATGAAGAGAGGGAGTGGTGTGTTATACTTTTAAGCAACCAGATCTTGTGAGAACTCGCTCTCAGGAGAACAACACCAGTTGTGCTAAAGCACTTATGAAAAATCACCCTCAGGGTCCAATCACCTCCCACCAGATCCCACCGCAAACACTGCAGATTATAATTTGACGTAAGATTTGGTGGGGACAAAGATCCAATTTATTTTAGCGTTCTTATGTTCCTATGTTCTCTTCTATGGATTTGGTCTGTTTGGCTCCTATACTTAGATGCGTTGTTAATTTGAGTCAGTCATGCATATGGTGCTAGGGAGGAGATAGATTGCACGTCAGTGTCCATTTGTCCCAGCAACACTGTGTGAGGAAATATTTCTTTATATTGAATTGATTTGGCAACCTTGGAGAATTGTTTTACCATGCATGTAAGAATTAATTTTTGACATTTGATTCTATTCCATTGATCTATATGTCTCTCCTCACATAGTAGATACACACACAGACACACACACACACACGGTACATGATATGGTTTGGTACAGGCATGTAATATGAAATAAGCACACATCATGGAGAATTGGACATCTATCTCCACAAGCATTTATCCTTTGAGTTACAAACAATTCAATTATACTTTTTAAGTTTTGTAAAAATACACAATTATTATCGGCTTTTATAGTTACCCTGTTATGCTATCAAATAGTATGTTTTATTCATTCTTTCTATTTGTTTTGTAACCATTAAACATCCTTACCTTCCCCCAGCCCCCTGCTACCATTCCCAGCCTCTGTTAACCATCCTACTCTCTATGTCCATGAGTTCAATTGTTTTTATTTTTAGAAGCCATAAATAAGTGACAACGTGATATTTGTCTTTCTGTGCCTGGTTTATTTCACTGAAGACAGTGATCTCCAGTTTTATCCTTGTTGTTGCAAATGACTGGGTCTCTTTAGTTTCTATGGCTTAATAGTACTCCACAGTTTATATACACCGTATTTTCTTTATCCAGTCATCTGTTGATGGACACTTAGATTGCTTCCAAATCTTAGCTGTTGTAAACAGTGCTGCAACAAGCATAGGAGTGCAGATGTCTCTTTGATATACTGATGTCCTTTCTTCGGGGTATATATCCAGCAGCCTACTGCTGGATATATTTGGTAGCTCAATTTTAGTTTTTTGAGGAACCTCCAAACTGTTCCCCATAGTGGTTGTACTAATTTGCATTCCCACCAACAGTGTACAAGGGTTGCTTTTCTCCACATCCTCACCAGCATTTGTTATTGCCTGTCTTTTGGATAAAAGCCATTTTATCTGGGGTGAGATGATGTCTCACTGTAGTTTTGCTTTGCATTTCTCTGATGATTAATGATTTTGAGCACCTTTTCATAAGCTTGTTTGCCATTTGTATGTCTTTGAGAAATGTTTATTCAAATATTTTGTCCTTTTTGGTTTGATTATTTGATTTTTTTCCTATAGGGTTGTTTGAGCTGCCTATATATTCTAGTTATTAATCCATCAGATGGGTAGTTTTCAAATATTTTTTCCCATTCTGTGGGTTGTCTCTTCACTTTGTCGATGATATCCTATCCTGTGCAGGAGCTTTTTAACTTGATATGATCTCATTTGCCCATTTTTGCATTGGTTGCCTATGCTTGTGGGATATTGCTCAAGAAATTTTCTCCTAGACCAACATACTAGAGAGTCTCCCTAATGTTTTCTTGTAGTAGTTTCATAGTTGGAGGTCTTCAATTTAAGTCTTTAATCCATTTTGATTTGATTTTTTGCAAACAGCGAGAGACAGAAGTCTAGTTTCATTCTTCTGCATATGGATAACCAGTTTTCCCAGCACCATTTATTTAAGGGACTGGCTTTTTCTCCAGTTTATGTTCTTGGCAACTTTGTCGAAAACAAGATAACTGTAGGGTTGTGGATTTGTTCCTTGGTTCTCTATTCTGTTCCATAGGTCTATATGGGTATTTTTATGCCAGTACCATGCTGTTTCATTTACTATAGCTTTGTAGTATTATTTGAAGTCAGGTAATGTAATTCCTCTAGTTTTGTTCTTTCTGCTTAGGATAGCTATAGATATTCTGGGTCTTTTGTGGTTCCATATCCTTAACATAATTTTGATTACTATTACTTTGTAGTAAGTTTTGAAATCAGAAAGTATGATTTTACTACACACAATTTGTTGTTTTTCAAAATTATTTTGTCTGTTCTGGAATTCTATTGCATTATATATGAATTTTAGAGTAAGATTGCCAATTTAGGAAGAAAATGTTACCTAGGATTTAGCTAGGGATTGCATTAGATCTATTTGGAAAGTATTACCAACCTAATGATACTAAGCTTTCTGATCAATGACAGCTCAATGTATTTAATTTATAATTTTATTAATTTTGTTTGATATGTTTTGTAGTTCTCAATATGCATATCTTATACTTATTTTATTAAATTAATTCATAGGTATTTAACTTTTATGCCATTTTAAATGAAATGGTTTTTGAAATTTTGTTTTTAGATTGTTAATTGCTAATAAATAAAAATACAATTGATTTTGTATATTGACCTGTACTAAGCTGTACTACAAGCTTGCTTAACCCTTTTTTCATTTTTTGTTATGTTTATTAGAGTTTTTATGATGTGTATAGACAGGATCATGTCATTTGTAGACATAATTTGACTTTCCATCCAATCTTACTGCTTCATATTTATTTTCTACACTGATTACCTTGGCCACATCCTCCAATACAGTGTTGAATAAAACTGTGAAAGTGATCTCCTTCTCTTATTTCTAATTTTACAAGAAAGTTTTTGAGCTTCAGGATATCATGTGAGCTTTTTTATGCTTTCATGGTGAGGAAATTTCCCTTATTTGCCTAAGTTGTTGCATGTTTTTATAATGAATGAAATTTGAATTTGGCAAGTGCTTATTGCTCATCTTTTAAGATGACCATGTGTATTGTGTCCCTTATTTCTTAATGTAGTTTATGGCACTAATTCTTTTTGTATGTTTAACCAAATTTGCATTCCTAAGATGTATACCTTGATCAAAATTTATAAATTTTTACATGTCTGTTATTTGTTTTGATAGTATTTCCTTGAATTTTTGTGTTTATGTTCATAAGTCATATTGATCATAGTTTTTCTTTCTTGAGTAACTTTGTCTAGCTGTGGTATAAGGCTAACTGATAATTCACATTGGAAAGTGATCTATTCTTTGTGTTGTTCTTACTGTTTTTTATGTGAAAGGTCTAATTTTATTTAGCACAGAGAGAATTGAACACATAAAAAGGAGAAAAAATGTACATTTTTTCAAGATAATTTTCAGACGTTGCAAACAATTATATTGTATAAGTAAGTAAAACCAAATCAGAGTAGTAAAGAGATGTAATTGGGCTACATAGATGGAGATTTACAATACACTAGAAAGGGAGAGAGGAAGGTGGGTGATAAATTACTATTTTTAATATGATTTTCACCATTTTGCATATTTCTTTCTTTAAATGCACTACACACAAGTATAGACACAAAAATATGGGTTGACAAACAGGTGTTCATTATTTAGAAGAAATAAAAAATTTAAATTCTGGTATTTCTTTAAGGTCAGTTTAGTTTGTATGCTCAGGAGACCTAACATGTAGACATTTGAAGGGACATGTTTTGTGAGCCTTTATAAATATCTATAAAAAATAGAATATCAGAGTTTTTAAAAACTTAAAAGTTGAACAAAACAAAGATTTAGATATCATTATTAAAGTTGTCACCTATTCCCAGATGAGGACTTAGAGAAACAAACAGTTGGCAAACCAGTGTAGCAGGTGTCTTCTGTGAAGCCAGATGCACACCCTGGGAACTGGGCTGTTGCTGGAGCTGACACTGCTGTGCCGCACGTCTGGCTGCCACCAGTTGCCTCCCTCTCTGGGAAGTGGAATTTGAATTGCAGGTGCTGACGGCTGATGGAAGAGAGACAAGACCACATTATCTGAAAATTCTTGACTGGGTTGCTTGCTCCTCATTTCACTGCTGGGTGCCACAGGCTTGGGGTTAACTGTTTGTTTTTTGAAAAATATATGATAAATTAGTATGAATTATTTGAAGATGTAAAATCATTCACTGATAATCTCTTCTTGACCAAGTCAGGGATTTTTTTTTTTTTTCAGAGACAGAGTCTCACTCTGCATCCAGGCTGGGGCACAGTGGCATGAATGTAGCTCATTGCAGACTTGAACTCCTTTTGCCTCAGCCACTTGAGTAGCTGGGGCCACAGGCACATGCCACCATATCTGGCTAATCTTTTTTCTTCTTTTCTTTTTTCTTCTCTTTTCTTTTCTTTTCTTTCTTTCTTTCTTTTTTTGCAGAAACAGGTTCTCACTATGTTGCCCAAGCTGGTCCTGAACCCCTAGCCTCAAGTAATCCTCCTGCCTTAACCTACCAAAGCATTGGGATTATAAGTTTGAGCCACCGTGATCAGTCCAGGGTAGGAAATGGAATCTTAACAACTGTCACATGAGCTTTGAGGGGATCCTTCTCCAGATGAGCCTTCACTTGAGACCTCAGCCTTGGACATCATCTACACCTAGATTCCTGACCCAGAGCAACTGTAAGTAATGTGTGTATGGTTTTGAGCCACCACACTATGTGGCAATTTGTTGTGCAGCAACTGATAACTAAAACAAAAGATAGTACATTTAATTTATAATACTACCCTGGATTAGATTCTGGAACAGAAAAATGGCATTACTGGAAAACCTGGTAAACTCTGAAGAAAGCCTGTAGTTCAGTTAATAGTTTTGTACCACTGTCAATTTATTAGTTTTCATAAATATACTATGGGTATATAAATAAGATGTTAACATTCTGGTAAACTCCTGGGTATGTAAAACTAGCTGTACTATGTTTGCATCTTTATGTGTATGTAAAATTATTTTAAAATGAAATCTTTGATTTTTTATTTTTAATTTAAAAAGACAGGCATGCATATGTTATACCAGCTTCTGGGGAGGCTGACGTGGGAGGATTGCTTGAGCCTAGGAGTTCCACATTGAAGTGAGCCATGATTGAGTCACTGCACTCCATCTTGGGAATCAGAGTGCGATCGTGACTCAAAAAAAAAAAAAATAGCCTCAGGGATGAATGGACATATAGGAAAAAAATAGCCAAGCACATTTCCTCTTATGTTTACCCTTCCGAACGTAAATGCATCCACTTCAGGAAGCCACATCAAACTCAAGGAATGCTTGTCCGTATTGGACCTCCCCATCACACTCTTCATTTCCAAGTAACTTGTTTGAGTGTCGGTAACCTCTCTTTTCAGAGTTATTTGGTTATGCCTCACATATCCCAGAAAGGGCCGTTTTCAGATATTTAGGAGCGTATCTGCAGGATCCCACTGAACACGTTTTGGCAGACAAAGTTTCTGGATGCCAGAGACCAAGATTGAGAAATGTTAGTGACAAGAAATATAAATTATATTTTCATGTTATGATTTTTTATTAATACAGGCTTAGTTTTCTAAAGACAACTCGCCTTCAAGCCTTGTTGGAATCCTGTGATAATTTCTTTTCACTCCACATTCTCCATCAAGAATTTTGTGGAACTTTGTATTCTGTGGAATACCAGAATTATATCAGCAATTCCCAAGCCCCAAAGTCACCAAATGGGCATCATCGTTGACATCAGGTGGGTGGAATACAAAAAATATATATATATATGGTGGTTGGTGGTTGTGGCAGTTTCTACTTATCTGGACCTGGACAAAAAAATCTTTTCACACCAGATTTTTGGCAGCTGAGATTCAAAATAGGTTTTGCACAGGTATGGAAAACCTGATAGAGGCAAAACAACAGGCCAGGTGTGGTGGCTTATGCCTGTAATGCCAGCATGTTGGGAGGCCAAAGTGGGTGGATTGCTTGAGTCCAGGAGTTCAAGACCAGTCTGGACAACATGGAGAAACTGTCTCTACAAAAAAATAGAAAAATTTAGCTTGGTATAATGGCACACACCTGTGGTCCCAGCTACTCAGAAGGCTGAGGCAGGTGGATGGATTGAGCCCAAGAGGTCAAGGATGCAGTGAGCCGTGATTGTGTGCCTGCACTGCAGCCTGAGCAATAACGCAAGACCCTCTCAAGAAAGAAGAGCGAGAGAGAGAGAGAGAGAGAAAGGAAAGAGGGAAAGAAGGAAGGAAAGGAAGGAAGGAAGGAAGAAAATATAACATATCCCCAACCCTCCAGCAGTGATCTAAGAGATAGACACAGGCTGAGTGGTGATTCTGCATATGTGCTGGTTAAACAAAGAATCCCACAGCAGGAGTGACTCTCCACTCACCCCACACACCCACACACAAGTTCCTGTTCAACACACCGCTACACAGCACCAGGGTTGTTCCCAGGGACCATGCCTAAAAACCCACAAAGACATCGGACTTCATTCTGAACACCCATGGCCATGTATAATGTTGACTTGTTTTTTTGGTCTATAAAAATGGAGTGTATTGTCTACACCACAGTAATAGTGACAGTGAGAAAATGAGCTCCTGTGGCCTAGAGACTTGGAAGAGACATTCAGCTTCATGGATGTCGTTTCTCATTCTTAGATGAGAATAACTGTTCCTTAGGTTCCTCTACGGTAGTGGTACTGTGAGCACTCTTGTTAACTCACTAACTTCTTCTTTTTCTCCTTTTTTTTTTTTTTGAGCGCGAGCTCGCTCGTCG